AGGATGCTTCGAAAAAACAAGGATTTGCTAGAAAAAAAAGAGATGATCTTCATAAATTAGCTGAATTAAATCGTAGCTTTTCTCATTATCGTTGGTGGTAAGAATGTACATATAGAAATCACCACCAACCAAGCCCGAGTACGCGCAGCCTTTATGGCATTTAGTTAGCTGCGCGTATTTATTTTATTACTACGAAGTTTCGTCTCAGAGACGTACGATTGACTGCCGAGTGTCGTGAGCACTCTGACCTGAAGTCTGTGCTGCCATTGCTACTAAGAGCCGCTCTGCTGCTGCTGTGATCCTAGCTGCAGCGATCGTCCTGGCGGCAAGCTCTCCCCTAAACCTCCTCCCGTCCCCTGAACCTAACTTCTGAAACACTAGAGATATGCTTCGTGCTGCGCTCCTATTTAGACGCCTATCATCTTCCTCACCCCTACTCTCTTTGCCCCTCATACAAACAGAAACAACTAATCCCTACACTAGAACACAATACAATCTTTTTTTTTTTTTTTTTTAACAGGGCCTTATGGTCCTGGCTCCTTTTCCATTCTGGGGAGCATCAGTCCGGTTCCTATTCCACCGGCAAGTCACAGAAACAATACATCATAATTACAGACCCACACTTCCTTCCGTTTGGCCGAAGGAACCCTGACCAGCATTGATTGCTCCATTTCCATGTAGGATTGACTGTCAGCTTGCCATGCTCCACCTTTTCCTCTCAGGTCTACTATAGAGACCTGCCATATGTGGCTTGAAAACCGAGAAAGGTTAAGCCTTTTCCCCCACCCCCTGTCTTTACTTGCCCTGTCACCCTGTTTTTTTACTATCCACCTTTCCCCTGCCACCCTTACTTGCAGCTCATCACTTCCCACGCTTACCTTAGCTCTTCGTCAGTACATTATGTCGTAATACCCTAAACCCTCAACCCTAACTCAAGGTCCAACCCAGCCAATCGGGGTTCCTCAAGCCCTAAGTTTTTTTCTGTACCACCCAGCTGGGTCCTTTCACGCTATGTGGTTAACATGCTCGCTGTGTTACCTGTCTTCACTTCTATTACTCCTCCATTCGCCTCCGACCTTAAATTCTCTTCAGTCGGATTGCCTCTACCCATCCTACTCTGACCCTTTGTTTACCTGACTCAGCCCGCCTATTCCCTTCTCTCCTCTCCGTTGTTTCCCCCAGTACGCCTCAAGTCTCTTAGCCCAGACCTGTTTCAACTCAGCTGTCTGTCTGTTGCAGTTCCGGTTTGGGTTTTCCTGCTTGTCTCTRAATSATGCCATTCTTTCCAGTAGATCCGGTCGTTGCGTAATTSAGCCACCTTTCCATCCACTAACCACAGCGCGATGAATTTTTCCCTGGCCTTTTGTCGCTGACTTTCGTCTTCCGATATCGACTGTTGTAGCTTTCGCCATTTGCAGAGGATTTCAGCTTGCAGCAGTGTTCTCGTCTCCACCCATACTTTGTCTCTTGGGTTGGACAACCCTTCGATGGTTCTGCTGCATCTTTCTTTCCAAATGATCCATAGTGTCACCTTCCTGATGAGGCCAAACCACAGCCTTTCTGTCTTCTTGAGCTGGTCGGGAATGTCAGTCCAGAGGAGAAGTTGGATAGGTAGTTCAGGGAAGGGGGTCTGAAAGAGGGAGTCCCAGAGTGCTGAAGCCCGTGCCCAGTACTCTGTTGCTTCCTTACAATGAATAAGACAGTGAATCACGTCCTGTTGCACTCCTTCGGAACAAACTGAACATAGGTCTGAACTAGTAGGGTCGTTTTTGTGGCGTCGTACGTGGAGCCATCGGCTTACTGGCAGCGCAGCATATGTAATCAGCCACTGCAGGCTTCTGATTTTGATCGGTCTGCTGGTTTTAAATTTTTTTCCACGGAATCTGTGTGAGTCTGTCAGCGTCAGGACCTAGGAGTTTCTGCCATCTGGCCTTGATTATGGGATCTGGATTTTTTGTTTTGACCAAGAGTTTGTATCCAAATTTGACTGTATAATTTTGTATGGGGATATGACCCTTGATATTTCTATTCTTGTCCGGTGCCCATTCCCATTCCGCCGGGTCAAATTCCAGATTCTGTCCGCAGCCGGTAGGGCAACCCTTTACTTCCAAGTTTGGCATTCTCATATCAGGCGGTCTAGTAGTAGGTAGTAGTGGGCAGGTTTTTGTACCTTCTTCGCTTCCACAATCAGCGGCTGCCGCTACAGGGCAGCCGCATATACAGTATCCTGTGCAACAGTTGCCGCTGCAGCAACAAATCCCGCCACAACAGACTGGTCCATTGGTTTCACAACCAATGCAGCAAGCACAGTGTGCTATACAACCCATGCAGTGGACCCCCAAGATTCCCTTGCTGAGTCCTAAACCCTTCTCCGGCGACAAGAAGAAGGAAGAGGACCTAGACACCTGGGTGAGGACTGTGCCTACTGATGTGAGGCACATGCCACAAGGACAGAGGAGGAAGTTATTGTTGTTGCATCCTTTCTAGAAGGATCAGCAGCCAGATGGCTAAATGGAATAGTACAGCAATAGGAATATAGTCAGGACTTCGATGGTTGGGCACAAGCTCAGACATTAGAAGAGTTCGTACAGATGGTCTACAAGAGGTGGCATGATCCCCCGAGGGGCTCAGAAGGCCACCGACTCGCTGCTTAGTCTGGCATCAAAAAGATACCGGACTGTTCGCGAGGTCACAAACGTCGTAGAACCACTGATCGTAGTGTCAGGTGTAAGGTATGAACCCCAGGTACTTCTCACCACTTATTTGAGATGTCTGCCTACAGACAAACGCCAATTGGTCGATGAGGCCACCATCGATCAGCATAACTTCGCTTTTTTCAGCAAGAAGGCCTTAGATGTAGAGGCTAAGTTGGGGAGTACCCAACAGAAACCAACAGATGGAAGGAAGAAAAAGCTTCCTCATGATTGGAGAAAGAATGGCAATCTCATATTCGTTGACCACGAGTGTCAAGCCACTGAGATTGACGATTTTTGTGCCCTTAGGGATGAGACAGAGTTGGACGGGGGTGGAGACACTTCAGATGGTGGAGTGGTTGCTCCTGTCAGGGAAAAAACTAAGGGGTCCGGAAAACAGAAGGCAGGCCGGTCCGAGGGTCAATATGATCAAGGAACACCCATATGGGTAAAATTTGGTCTAGAGTACGAGTTGTGGCGAGACCGCGTTGCACGAGGCGCTTGCCTGAACTGTGGCCAATATGGTCACACCATGGCTAACTGCAAGAGTATGCAGGTCGCCACGAAGGTTGCGTCCTCAATAGTGACGGTCGGATCTTCAAACTTTGGTGGTGCTTCTGCGAGCACTTCGCAAGGAAACACCTCAGGCCAGTAGGAGTGTTAGCCGCTCTTACTCGTGCTGAAGTGGTAACCTTACTTTCTCCTTTTCAGACGACAACCAAGGCTATTGACCCATCGATCGCCCCGCAGACAGATCTAGATTCTAGACCAATCGATGCTTTGTTCAATGGATGTGTTTGAGTCCTTAGAGGAGTTACAAACTGAGTGGTTGGAGAAAGATCCTAGAGACTCTTGGGCGATGTTGAACAAAGGTCCAAAAGGGGAACACTTCGTGGTAGAAGTCAATGTAGGTGGCCAAAAGGTTGGCGCCTTCGCAGACATAGGTTATACGCGAAACTTAATCAGTCGTACTTGTGTGGATAGGCTGCGCTTAGGGGACCAAGTGCAACGGCTTAGCATATTTGTGGCATCTACCTTAGCCAACAAACACTCTATGGTAGTAAAGGACTATGTCAAGGACGTAGTCTGCACCTTCTCCTATGGAGGAGGGGAACTGAGACATAGAATCTCGTTCCTTGTTAGCGACGAGCTGCCATTCGATACGTCACTAGGCATGTACTACCTCAAGGTTGCTAAGCCTCAGTTCGATTGGGATAGGAAGGTGATGATCCACAGGTTGCCAGATGGAAGGACCGTTAGGCTGCAAAAGTTAAAGGCTAACAGACTAGTGGAGAACTATGGTTGCATGTGCACGTCGTTTTTCTATAACTACTACAAGCATAATCACGAGGAAGGTATGTACTTAGTCTTTGTTTTTGAGAAAGGGAAGGTCGTAAAATCAACCCCAGAGATAGAAGCAGTCGTTGCACAATATTCAAACTTTTTTTAGGAGCCTAGGGGTGCGGTTGAAAGGGAGATTGTTCATGCAATAGAAGTCGTCCCCGGTTGCGAAGTACCTAGAGGACGGATCTATAGGATGTCTCCTGCGGAGTTAGATGAGCTCCTCCACCAGCTCAAGGTGCTCATAGAGAAGGGTTGGATTCGGGTCATGGGTCAAGAATGGGATATGCAAAGTAAGCCACCTATGAAACGAAGAAAGTAAACAGTGGGTGACGGAACAGGAATTAAGCAATCTTCTAAAGGGCTGTCACAGACGAGGGCTCAATCTTCATGACATCATCAACTGTGTTCCTCAAGCCTGGAAAGACATCTTGAATGAAGCGGCGCCATGGAAGGTTGGAGAATGGGGAGTTAAAGTACAAGAGACTTATCCATCGCGAGCCTTCCAATTCTCGCACATGCAACCGGGCTCAGCCACCAAAGCCGTCTTCTCCTCCTTCCCAATCTCCCCGTCAAGCCATGCCATCTATACTAAATCAAGAAGTGGAAACGATAGTCATGGAATTCTTCCCACTTAGGAAAGTAAGAGTACTAGGCTCGTGGCCCAAAGAAATCTTCAGATCAGATATGGCGTGGGACCTGCAACTATAGGAGCTACAACATACTGTGGCTGCCTGACCGGAGGTCGTGGCGCCCGCAGTGCGGTCAGAATCTGATTCTGACCAGCTATCAGTGCAGCCAACATCTCTTGCTGCACCGCTTGCACTTCAGCTACACTCAACAGGGAGTTGCGAAGGGACAAAGTTACAGGTTCAAAAATTGACTCATCTATAGCTTCTAACTTGGCTAACTCCTCTCCCCTTGCCTCTAGTCTGGCTTTTCTAAGTCTTGCTTTTTCTCTCCTACCTTCTACCTCTTGCAACTGCCGTCGTAACTCTGTGTGGAGGGCATCCGCCTGTTGAATCTCATAATCCTCCTCTGACATGGATTGCTGCTGGCTGACCTGCAAGCCAACATGCTGACTAACGAAAACTTGGGAGACGCCTTGACTGACACCTGACGAACAGGCCTGAGATGAGGCCTATGGCATGGTAGAGGCGGTAGCCATGGCTGCCTCAACGTTGGCACTAGCATTTGTTGCTAATGCTGCTGCTAGTGCCCTTTCGGCGTTGGCTGCTGCTTCCCTAGCCCTCCGTAATGTCGTCCTTTCTCTAGCTTCTCTCCGCAGTCTCCTTTCCTCTCCGTGTTCTAACACCAGGACAGTGGTTGGTTGACTGAGTGCACTTCTCCGGGTAAGCCTCCTATCGTCTTGGTCTAGTCCCTCAACCCCACTGTCATCTCCACTCATGAGCTACGTGTGGTCTGCGATCTGCACTTGTGTCCTCGCTGGGACCTACCACATCATGGCAACCAACTGATTAAAATAAAATAAAATAAATATTCGGTCAATTTTTTTTAAAGTTGTTTCCCTAAGTAGTGTAGGGCGCAGCGCTACCGGGAGTGCTGCGCCCCGGGTGCACCCGGTCCTAAACAGTGTGTTCACACTGGGGAAGAACGGTACGTGGCGATGGAGCAGTGACGTGTCGTGCTGGGAGTCGCGAGATGCAAGGACGGATGGGCGCGGGCTCTGGAGGGGAGTAAGGGTTTTTGGCGGCCATGAGGAGGCTCGGCGTGGCGGGGTAGGGAGCTACGGGGAAGGTTGTGATGGTGGTCCGGCCGCCGCAGTTTCCTGTGGGGCAGACACGTAGTTGAGAGCTTCGGATGAACGATTTTTTTGCATCGTCTTCTTCAGGGGTCTTCCTCAGCAGGGTGTGACTGGTTGTCTCGAGTTGCTGGGGCCTTTGGTTCGACAGCCTGAGTATGCCACTCGATTACTACTAATTGAGAGTCTTCTTTGGTGTTTTCCAGTGAAGCTGGGTATGGGATATATGGAGCGATGGAGGTAGAACACGGTGAGTGGGGAGCACGAAGATATGGAAGCATCTTCCGATCAGCACGGAATAGCTGATCTTGAGTGTGGATGGGGGAAGGTGGGGGCTGTGAATTAGGGGATGGTGTGACCACAACTTTGGGGGAGGAAGTAACGTGGCTTAGGGGTTGTGTTATCTTTCTTACGTTCTCCCTCTTACCTTCCCTCTCTCGATTTGTGTTTTTTCCTCCTTATCTGTTGTTTTCTCCGTTTCTGCCCGCCTCATGTCCTCTTGTCTTACTAGGATCGAAACTCCTGCGAGGTGTAGTTGGCAGGCTCAACGATGACTGTCGTGACGAGCTCTGACAGGGGCTTGGCCTGGTGGCCTTCTGCTTCCGACGGGAGGGGGCTGGTCTCCCCCCTAAGAAGGCATAGGGGGAAAGTTTCGTGATGGGATTGGAGGAGGAATTGAGATGGGTGGACAACAGTTAACAATGACAGGAAAATCGCAGGTTGGTATGATGCGTATGGTTTTGTGGTTAATTTTCGAGTGGCAGCCTTCTCCTTGATCAGTTTTTCATATGGTTTTTTAGTCATCTCACGCAAATTACAGCGATTAGATTTTCTACCCTAATTGTGGTGATTGATACTATGTTGGATATTCACACGTCTTTTGAATCAATATTTTGTAGTAGCACTTCTAATCTGTCATTTTACTAGCGTGTTGGTCTCCTAATTACACATAACAAATAATTTCGATCTTGATTTCCAAATTCCATACTTCAAATAGAATACATAATTCCTAAAATCTTTTCACTTCTCAAGTCCATAGAAAGCTCTTCAGTTGAGCTACTATTTTTGTACAACCTTCCTCTTAATTTTCGTATTCAGAGTGCTGAAATTCGAATCTTAAATTTCTAAAAATTCCTTCTATAATTCCTATTTCAGTCTTTACGTCATAATTTTGGCTCTTAATCTTGAATTCGAAACAATGTGTATCTGAGTCAATTGTTTTTTAGAAAAATCTTCACTAGCTTGGTGCTGGTTCCGTGGGCTGTTTTGGCGGTGATGGTCTGAGATAACGCGCTCTGCGGCGAAGGGGCTAGCCTGTAGGGCGGGAATACGGTACAGCAGCGGTGGAGATGGTGGCTCGACCGCAGTAAGTCTTGCCGGAGCAGGGGTGAGAACGAATTTGTTGGCCGATTGCAACCAGTGCCTGGAGGAGCTGGATGACGAGGACCACAACTACGATGAGGATTGGTGGGTTGTTTGTTAACTGCTGACATCCTTTGGTCCCAGTGGTCTGCAAATGGACGAGGCCAGATCGACGCTGGTTGGTGCTGGGGCTTGGTCGCGCTGCCCTGTAACTCGAGCTGTACGGGGGCATGAGACCTGGTAGAGAGATCTGGGGAGTCGCCGAGGGTGGACGGCACTCTAGTGTCTGTTGGTGGGCTGGTACTTAGTTAACACTCGCCGGAGCCGGGGCGGGTCGTTCTGCCCTATAGCCTAGCAGGTGGGGGGTTTCTGGGGTGGGTCGCGCCACCCTGCAACCTAGATGTTGGGGGTATGAGGCCTGGTAGAGATTGACTATTAGGGTATAGGGCGGAGGCGGATAAGGTTGGGTTGCTGAAAGTCTCAGTGATCTGCGGCTGTTCGATGCCATAACAACGCTGGTCGGTGCTGGGGTGTGGCCCTGTAACCTGCTGATGCAGGAGCGTGAGGCCTGGTAGAGAGATTTGGGGATGCTTTGGGGTGGGCATTCCACGGGACAACCAAGGATTGCTGCTGGGACGACGCTGGTTGGAGCTGGGGTGAGTCGTGTTGCCCTGTAACCCAACAGGATGCGGGGGTGTGAGGCCTGGAAGAGCTCGGCAGGGAGTAAGACAGTGTTGGAGAGCCTTGGAAGGTTTTGTTAGGGATTTCGAGGGTTTTTGAGCATTTGTAGGACCGCTGCGGTCTATTCCTATGTTTCCCGAATTATCGAAAGTGTTCTTAGACGTTTTCTCAGCCGAAGCCGGGTAATGGCCCTGGTATCTCAAAAAAAGAGCTCGAGGTGAGAGGGAGAAGGAGATGGTGGGAGATCATACGTCCTACTAGTGAGGGGGCTAGCTGGCAGGATGGGAATAGGGTACAGCAACAGTGGAGATGGTGGCTCTGCTGCAGTAAGTCTAGCCAGAGTGGGGTATAGGGGATTGATTGGGAGTGTCTGAGTCGTTTTCGGAATTGTGCATATGTTTTTTGTTTCTCAGCTATACTTCCAACCACCTGTTAAATTTTCACATGGGACGCTGGCCCGGTTCCCAGCATGTTTGCAGGTTTTTTCATTTTTTCCAAATTGACCTATCATCAAAGGGTGTCCCTGCTCAGTTAATCCCCTGGGTTCCGGGGCAATCAATGGTGGCAGGGGGAGGTCTTCTTAATTTTTTCTCAAGAAAAGAGGTGAGCGGGATAAGTAGATGGTTGGATATCAAGCGTCCTATTAGTGAGGGGGCTAGCTTGTAGGATGGAAATAGGGTACAGCAGCAGCGGAGATGGTGGCTCTGCTGCAGTAAGTCTTGCCGGAGTGAGGTAAAGACGATTGATGGGGGGTTTCTGCGTCGTTTTCTGAATTTTGCCTATTTCTGTAGTTTCTCGTAGCAATTTTCTCAGTAGCTCCAAATTTTCTTAGCCATAGCCGGGTAATGGCCCTGGTATCTTTAAAAAATTTCAAAACTTTCAAAATCGTACGTAAATTTCCATATGGGACGCTGGGCCCGGTTCCCAGCACGTGCTGCTCCCCACGAATAGATTGGAGTCTTGTTAAAAAAAAAAAAAAAAAAAAAAAAAACAGTCAAACTTCGTCAGAAAGTAGTCAAGCGGTAACAACTGATAATCTCAGATTCCTACAAATAATTCTATTCCTACTTTTGACTAGTTTGAGACAGATTGCAATGCAGCAAGGAATATGTACTACCTATCTGCAGCTGCCTGTCAGTTGTTAGTAGTGTCTGTCACAAGATTCACAACTAACTAATCAAAAATAAAAATAAAATCATTTGCTGGGTTTGCATGCAGAACGGAAATTTTTCAATAATAACTAATTGAACTATTTATTGGTATCCCCCCTCCCCGTGTATCCTTCTTGAGTAGTCTCTTGATGTTGACATCCTCAAGATGACCAGTCCTGCCCCTTCTTTATCCTTGCGTGTAGTGAACCTTACATCTGGTTGATCTGGCTGATGAAGAGGTAGTTTAAGGACAACCCCCAAGGTCCTCATGAATTATTTAACATCGCAGACAAGACGACGATCACAACCAATATTCAACTCAAATCCGCCAGAAATATTTATAGACGGTCTGGTATGCATCTCGTGTAGGACTTGTCAGTCCACGTTCCCTCTATAGCGCAGCAAGCAGAACCAAGGACAAGCAGCATTGCATCCGTATACTAATCCCAACGGGTTGGCATGGTGACCGTGACCCGAGTGTTTTGTCCAGGGCCCTTCAGAGGCAACACCCGTCTACCACCAGCATGCTCCCCAAGAAGAATGTCGACTCTCAAGGTTGAGCGCTCACAACACCTCACTATGAGAGGATTCTCACGACATAACTCACATCCTCACAATAAGAAGTAATGAGGAGGGTAGATAAGGTAAGGAGCAACGTACCTCATAGTGCTGCCCCCAACCACATATTTCTCTCCAGTAACCTGACGTGCATTTATGATGACCGGTCGACGCCTCGGCGCAACCCACGATGCAATACAGTTCCACCTCGGCTTAAATTGCCACGTCAGCAAGCTCTCATCATCCAGCGTGCATCCCTATGTCGCCACATAGCCTTCCTGGCGTGCCCACACGACCCTGGGCCGCCACTCGCCAACGCAGAAACGTTATCACTGCCCCACCATTATCCAGCGAAGCACCAAACAACTATTGTGAAGGCCGCCAACGGAGCAGCTGGAACCAGCTCCGATACCAAATTGTAAGGAAAAATGAGCAATAGCAAAATGACAGATTCCAGATTGCAAAATCACATTGAAAGTCAGAAAGTTCGACAATGTCCAGAAAGCAGAATTGCACCGATATTACACCAATGGAGAACCCAAACACTGAATTCGAGTGTCAATGAGAGCATACTCGGCGCCCAGACTACAATCACGCTGCTACTACCAGCCTACGAATTGACAATGCAACTATTGACGTCAGTAACTGAACCGAAGTACATGAAGATGTCGACCTTGTAGACAATCGCCAAGACCAGGTACGTGCCCTCACATCATCATCCTTATCTCTCTCTCTCTCTCTCTCTCTCTCTCTCTCTCTCTCTCTCTCGTCTTCTCTACCCACACCTTCTTCCTCATACACGACGACCACTACCACCTCCACTGGCTATCGTCCAAGCCAAGCTCGACTATGGGGGCTGGCTATGTCTCGCACGGCTGCACCACGTGTGCACTTGCCCACACACTAACGCAGCAGCAACTCCGCATGCTCTTGCAAGTGCCGAATGTCTGCCCTGGCGCCCGACCCTTTCCTATATGGAAAGTGGCGGGCGCTTTTTCTTGCCACGACACGTGAGACCGAGTTTCCAGTATCTTCATTCTCGACCAACGTGTTTGTGCTCAGGCCCGTTCAGACAGTGGCCTGAGACCGAATTGGTTAGGCATGCCCAACCACCCAGGCACGAACGTGCGATGCCCCCTGCTTTGGCCACATTGATAGAATGGCCTGGAAGGCTCACGAATCTTTCCCATTCTCACGTGCAGGGTGGATGTAACCACAGGGCGGATGTAACCAACTGGCGCGTGGCAACTGTCTGACGCCGACCAAGATTTGCAAAACTGGACGATTTCAGGGCGCATTCAAATTCAGTGGGCCCGCCTTCACTTAGAGTTGGCACACGCTTGTTGCAGGGCCATATGCCGAGGGGTCAAACCCTCGCAAAAAGAAAGAATTCCGAAAATATTTTATTTTGGATTTATCAAGCAGCGAATTTTGAATTTCAAGAAAAAAAGAATCGAAAATTTCAGCTACTGCGCAATTTTGTGTAATGAACCCAGATCGAAAGACAGTTGTCAACAATGCAAGTCCAGGAAAATGTCCATCGACTGATGATTACTAATAATCAAAATTCGTGACCAGACAGAATGAGGTGAGATATCATACACAGACGAAGAGAGAGAAGGGAGAAGAGACAAAGGAGAGGAAGTAAAATGCCCACTCCTACTTCGGGCTCCCTCCTCTACTGCCACCTCATCAATCAATAATCTGAACGAGTATCCGAGTGTCCTCAATGTGCCACATGGCACGTCTAATCAGTTCCACATCAGCATCTGGAGCAATGTCGACATGAAGACCACCAGGTACGTATCCTCGAACTTCCCACAGCCCTGATCTCCTCCTTAAGCAATGACGAACAAAACAGCAATGTCGATCATATAGTCCCCGCAATAGAACACGTGGACAACAGCCACGTCAGCATAAAATACGTGGCAACAGCCACATCAGCGAAGGCGCAGGGCAGCTGCCACGTTAGCATGCCAAGAAGACAGGAGCAAGCCGGCCACCATGCCGGACTAGCAGCGCCTCGCCAAGTTACAATGCCAGCAGCGTCGAGCCAGCATTGAAGTCAACGCGTGAAGTCAGCATCAACGCAAGACAGAATGGATGTCAAAGCCAGGAAGTCAATTCTTATGTAGTGTTCACACGGGGTCTGGACCCCGTATGCTGTATCCCTCGGCCGTCCAGATCTCAATGCGAATGAGGGCTCAAATCGGCCTGAAACCGAATTCCCTCCGGCCTGGATGCTGTCTGGGTACCTGCGCACAACAAGTGAGTGTATCCAACCCAGGGCCTGAGTGCGGTACCTTTGACTCTACAGTTGGCTTTGACTCTTGAATTTCCTGTGAGCAGCGTTCGGTCACACAACCACACTCGACAGACTCAGGCCTGGGCGTGTCTTGGTCACACAGCCCAGCGCAGAACTTCTCAGGTCTGCGTGGCCTGGGGCTGAGTGCTAGGCCCCAGGCTAGTTCTCAACAGGGTTATTACATTCCTGCCGGCCCATTTTCGAGTTCCACCGCAGAAATATTTAAGACTTTAACCCTCGTTCATAAGCAGCGACAATATCAGGAGCAGTTTCAAGTAGTTCTCGTTTACTAAACCATTTGTCCTCAGATGGTGCTTGAGTTTTAAAACGTACCTTGAACTGCTTCTGAGGTCGTCCACGTCCTCCCGTAGAGAAGTAGTCATGCTCTATGATCCGGTCAACCTCATATCCGCCATCCATGTCTGGTGGAATCATAGAGGGTCTGTGAGGAAACTCATTTCCTTCTACGTAAGGCAACAGTTTGGACGCATGAAAGACAGGATATGTTTTGAGATGGGGGGGAATATCAACTCGATAAGACGGTCCCTCTGCATCTCCAATTACCTTGAGAACTTCCCAGGGTCCAAAATAGACAGGTAGCAATTTTTGGGAGACATCTTCTTCTAGTGAAAACTCTTTAGATTTTACCCAAACCAAATCACCTTCTTTGAATGTAGACGGTCGACGGTGCTTGTTGGCTTGTTCAATCATTCGTAATTGAGCTTTCCTTAGATTATCTTTAACTTGAATGTCTTCCTGAAACAAGATTGCATATTCTCGGGTCCCTGGGGGCAACCTGAGAAACTGGTCCCGATTCAGTACATCAATGGGACGTTTAGGCTTCCACTCTTTGTGAAGTGCATTTGGGGTTCGTCCAGTAGATGTGTGGACACTATTGTTATATGCACTTGCAATCTTACGTAAGTTCTCGTCCCAATCAATCTGATCGGGTCTAATATACATACGCAAAAGTTATTGGCACAGACGGTTCATTTGTTCAGTCTGCCCATTCGTTTCGGGATGCCTCCCTGACGACATGGTCAGTCGTGTATCATAAGCTTCCATCAGCTTTTGCCATGGCAGACTGGTGAACCTGACATCTCGATCAGACACAATGGTTTTGGGAAACCCATACTCAGTAACCCATCGCATCTGCAATTTTTGAATGACAAGTTCAGTACGCGCTTCTGCTGGTAAGGGAACAAACATAGCGTATTTAGAGAAACGATCCACAATTACCATTACTTGACTCTTACCATTGCGACTTTTAACCAGACTCATGAAGTCAATTGAGATAGACTCACCTGGTTCGCTTGGTATAGGTAATGGCTTGAGAAGTCCAAGGGGATTCTCGTGCGACAACTTGTTTCTCTGACACACTAAACAAGTACGAACATATGTTAGTACATCTTCTTTGAGTCCCTTTCATTCGAAACATTCTCGGACTTCGGCATATGTTTTCTTGAAACCAAAATGTCCCTCAGAGTCATGACATTCCCCAATCAACAGACTTTTGATTTCTTCCTTATGAGGAATACACAGTCTTTGTTCAGTTGGTCAATCAAGAATAACAATCCATCAGTTATTCTATAGTTGGGTAGTTGGGACGGATTTCGTACGAGGACATCCATGATTGGTTTCCAAATAGGATCAGTAGCATATCCTTGGCGAATCTAGTCTTTCAGGTCATTCCCCACATCCAAATAAGAGACAATTGCACCAAAGAAATCACTCCATCTGGACAATGCGTCTGCGACCACATTAGACTTACCTTTGATCGTATTCAACTCAAAATCGAAGGTATCAATAAATGCAGACCATCGTACCAGCTTATCAGAGAGCCTAGGCTGTGTCTTTATCCACTTCAGGGCAAAGTGGTCTGAGTATACAGTGCAGTGTCTTCCTAACAAGTAGTGCTTCCACGTGTTTAGTGCATAGACTAAGGCATACAACTCCCTTTCATAGGTGGAGTTGGCAACCTTTTTAGACGGCAGTCGCGCAGACATAAACTCTATGGGCCTATAGCCCTTGCCGTCATCTTGCTGAAGAACAACACCAATCCCATACTGACTTGCGTCAGTGGTGACGATGAAAGGCAAAGACGGGTCAACAATCTTAAGGACCGGGTAGTGAGTCAGGACATACTTCAGTTTCCGAAAGGAAGACTCACAATCCTTATCCCACAACCAGATAGTTTCTTTCTTTAACAATCTTCGCATTGGTGCAACAATCAGTGAGAAGTTTCTAACAAACGTCCTGTAGTAACTAGCTAAACCAAGGAAAGATTGCAATTCCGTTATAGACTTAGGTTGTGGCCAATCTCTAATTGCTGAAATCTTCTTCTCTTCTGGTCTTAGACCTCCTTCGTTCACTATGTGTCCTAAGTATAACACTTCGGACTTAGCAAACTCAAATTTCTTGGTATTGCTCTTGAAGTTGCCCTCACGCAACTTCCCCAGCACCAGACGAAGGTGCTTCTCATGATCTTCTAGTGTCTTGCTATACACTAGAAGATCATCAAGATAGACGATGACGAACTTATCTAGCCACTGACGAAAGAGTTCATTCATAGACCTTTGAAAGGTCGCGGGAGCATTAGTCAGTTTAAAGGGCATCACCATAAACTCGTAATGGCCATACCTGGTTCGGAACGCAGTCTTATGTTGATCCGTGGGTTCCACCTCGATCTGGTGGTATCCAGACTTCAGATCAATCTTACTGAAGAACTTGCAGCCCTGCAACTGGTCTGACAAGTCGTCAATACGTGGTAGAGGTTCGACATTCTTAACAGTGACGGCATTCAACCCTCTGTAATCAATACAGAAACGTAACTCACAAATAAGACAGGGGCACCATAAGGAGAAGAGCTAGGGCGAATCCATCCTTTCTCTGTTAAGTCCTGTAGTTGTTTCCTTAATTCCTCAAGTTCCCTGGGATACATTCGATAGATAGGGCCTTTGGGAATCTTACTGTCAGGAATAATTTCAATGGTGTGCTTTATAGCACGTGCAATTATTCCTGTTGGTTCGGAAAACAGGTCTTTATACTCACTAAGGAGTTTTTCGGTCGAAGGAGGATAGGAAGTAGAGCATTCACCTGCTTTCTTAGCTAAGACCATCATTACTTCCTGCTCCAACTTTTCTTTGAAACCATCAAACGAAATGTTGGGTAACTCATACAACAAAAAGAGAGACTAGAGTGAGACCCAGACTTATGAAACAATTTGATAGGTTTCAATTCAGATTGTGCGTCTCGCAATTGCACAATCTTCTCTTTGAACTCAATGTCTGGGTTGGCTTCCTCGTGCCAGTCCATTCCCACAATCAAGTCAAACGGTAGGTTCTTTTCGATTAGGAAAGATACCTCATGCAAAATTTTCTTACCTTCCCTTGTTCGAAACCAACACTTGACACGATCAACATACTGCGAGACAGTAATCGTGCTTTTATCAGCAAGAACGGACGTGATAGGTCTAGAGTCTAGACAAATTTTTCACCTTCATTCCAAGATGCAACTTGCGGATTGCCTTCTCGGATATATAGGATCGCGTAGATCCTGAGTCCAACAGTGCACCTACTCGTGTACTTGCGATCTCTATATCCGCGAGTAGTAAGTCACCCTTAGACTTTGATTTCTTAGCCCACGAGCTTCGTAATGCCAGCAATTCGTTACCAAGCTCGTCAAGAGAGTCGTCCAGATAGACAGTGCATAAGACAGGTTCAGGGTGATCTGGACAGTGGCCCAAAAAAGAACCATCCTCTGCCGTGCGAGTCAAAGGGTTAGAAGGGATTGTAGGCGCCTTACCTTCTTTGTCCAAACCCTTTAACTCAGTAGGAGCAGATGCTACTCCTACTGGCTGCTCGCTTTTGGGTATCGAATCTGTGGGCACCATGCAATCACATGCCCTGCGATGCCACACTTCAGACATTGTGCATTGTTCATTCTTTCTTGCCATAATTCCTGTGATATCCCCATCTTCTCCCACGGCTTCCCGACCGCAATTCCGGGATGCTCAGGGAACGAGCGTGGTTTCTTTTAACTTTCCTGGCGGTCGTGGTCCTCCCTTGTTGACCACTGCGGCAGTGACTTCCCCCTTCCCGGACTCACTGCTGCTCGTCACACCCTCGGCCTCTAATGGCCAGTTCTCCACAGTATCGTCATCAAAGACGACGAGGGTGTGGTCCTGGTGCTTTTGGCACCAGAGTACCCGCTTTCCTACACCTGCACTTCCACCTCCACCATACTTCACCACGGAAGCATACAAATTTTTTACCTGTGAAGTCATTTGCTCTCGTTGGAGAGCCAGATCACAAAACTGCCTGTAGTTGTACTTGCCGGATCTAGCATCTGGCACGAGCTGTCCACGAATAGGCTCAGGCAGAGCGCGGGAATAGATATAAAGGACTTGGTTGTCTTGCAAGTTCAATCCAGGAACCTGCAGCAACCGATCTACTTCCCGAGACAGAGATTCTACCAAGGTCCAATGTCTTTGGCCAATGGTAGTAAGTTGGTCAAAGGCCTTGTCGGCCGTTGTTTTGTCCAGGAAGCGTTCCTTAATTTTTCCAAGGAACTGCTTCAGATTCATGGTTCCAGCCCACTCCCCAATGTCCTCGAACCCCGCTGCGTTAGCTTCTGCCAGTACCCATTCTTTTGCTTCCCCACCAAGACATGAAGTAGAGAACGCAACTTGAGAGTCAGGTTCGACAGGAGACGTTTTACAGTAAGTCTGAATCTCGACAATCCATAGCAACAAGTTTTCATCCTTCTTGTTGTAGAACGTAAAAGGCATTTTCATTTTTACTTTCTCCCTCTTCTTTGGCTTTTCAGGTTCCGCAGTTACCTTATCCTTAGGAGGAGGAGACTTCGGAGGTGGAGAGGAAGGAGGGGAGCTTGGTGAAGAAGACGGCGGACTCGAAGGCTCCCCTTTCTTTGTTTCTGATTTCTCTTCCGTCTTCTCTGTTTCTACCTTGAGAGACTTCATGGCGTCTCCCATGAGTTTCTCTGGCTTTTTAGTCTTTTCTTCCTTGACTTGTTCCTTTCCCTTGACCAAATTCGTGACTATCCGGAGTCCTGAGGCCACGTGATCAATTTGGGACTGCATCCGCTCGCCAAACTGATCTATTTTCATTTCCAAGTGGGCAAGGTAATTCACAAGTTGGGCCAGAGAAATCGCCTGTTCTTCCCCTTCAGTGTGAATGACAGTTTGTCTAACTTTTTCCACTTTTTGATCTTGTTGTACATTCCTCTCTTTACGCCTTCTCATTTCTTGTTTCCTCTGCTTTTCTTTCTCAAGCGCTTCTTCCAATTGTCTGATGTTCTCATTCACGGTTTCGTCATTCACATCAACTTCTTTCTCTTCCTTCTGTTCCGAGATCTTTGCAAGTTGTTCCATAATAATCTTATCAAGTGCCCGACGACACTTGACAAGTTCGTTATGAACCTTCAAGACGTCGGTGCCAGTCTCAGCTGATTCGATAGCATCATGAATTGCTTTCAAATCAAACTGGGCACGTACCTGTGCCTCTACTTCAGCACCAACGTCATCGAGTTCAGATATCAGTTGATCCAGACGACCAATCAAGATTATTTTTTGCTCTTCAACTTGCTGTCTGGGGGTCAGGAGTCCCCTCATCAATAGCGAAGGTGAGTGAGATTGGGAAGAAAAAGAAAGGAATGAAACGGGTGAGAATCGACAATTTCAACAATTCCATAAATGAGACATTGTGATGTGCGTTTGTCGCACAATAAATACTTAATAACAATAATAAATTCCACTACAACAGCAAGATTTCTAATCACTTAAAGGGAAAAGAATCAGATACAATTAATCCTATTTTCTAACTATTGTTGTTCTTTTGTCTGCGTGTGTGATGACGTCCTACGCAAGAGTGTACAGGTACCGTATCAGGCCCGTGTGATCAGACACAGCACACAAGTAAGTACGCAAACACCACACACAACAACAACAAGTAAGTATGCCAACAACAATCACAACAGTTTGTCAGCAACCTTTATCAATTTGCTGTGTCTTCTTGATGTCTGTGCGATCACGCACTCCCCCTGACAGCTGGCACTACAACTGTGTAATCTGTCCAGTCAGTTGTACCGCCGTCGTCTTTAGAGTGCACCTCTTACTCGGCAGTGTCCTGCCTGCCACGTGTCACCCCTGAAGTGCCAACATAGCAATGTTGCCACGTCAGCACTCTATCCAGTCTATCAATAATGGGATGCCACGTCAGCAAATGTGTAGTCCGATCCTTGCCACGTGCCTCTTCCAAACGTCAAGTGAGATACCGCCGCCGTTCCAGCCAGTCAGATTATGCCTCGTCAGCCAAGGAGTTCAATGCCACGTCAGCAGGCAGACACCACCTCATAAGACAGGTGTGATGACCTGCTCCTGCCACGTCAGCAATCAATCTTCCTTCCTCCAGGCCACGTCAGCATCTGCAATAGACCCTGCCGCGTGTCAGCAGCACAAGAAGTGCCACGTCAACATTAGTAACAGGGTCTTCAGACGTGGCACAACACATGCCACGTCAGCAAGGGATAGTGATTCCACATCGCAATCGCGATCCAGGCTGGTGTGCAGTATCTCCAGTCGCAGTCCCTACTGCCACGTCAGCAGCCTGGTAGGGATCTCTTCCTGCCAATGAAGCCTGTACCTCGTCAACAGTCCCGACAATGTCTTCTCGCCAGTGATTTGTCAGCAGACCCCGAAAGTGTATCCTCGCCAATAGGTATGTGCCACGTCATCACCCTAGCGTATCCCTTGCCACGTCATCACCTACTCAACCTTACTTACCTGTGCGCCACCTGGCGCCTACTCATATACAAATGTCATCGTCAAGAGATTAGCTCCGATACCAAATTGTAATGAACCCAGATCGAAAGACAGTTGTCAACAATGCAAGTCCAGGAAAATGTCCATCGACTGATGATTACTAATAATCAAAATTTGTGACCAGACAGAATGAGGTGAGATATCATACACAGACGAAGAGAGAGAAGGGAGAAGAGACAAAGGAGAGGAAGTAAAATGCCCACTCCTTCTTCGGGCTCCCTCCTCTACTGCCACCTCATCAATCAATAGTCGGAACGAGTATTTGAGTATCCTCAATGTGCCACGTGGCACGTCTAATCAGTTCCACATCAGCATCTAGAGCAATGTCGACATGAAGACCACCAGGTACGTATCCTCGAACTTCCCACAGCCCTGATCTCCTCCTAAAGCAACGACGAACAGAACAGCAATGCCGATCATATAGTCCCCACAATAGAACATGTGGACAACAGCCACGTCAGCATAAAATACGTGGCAGCAGCCACATCAGCGAAGGCACAAGGCAACTGCCACGTCAGCATGCCAAGAAGACAGGAGCAAGCCGGCCACCATGCCGGACTAGCGGCGCCTCGCCAAGTTACAATGCCAGCAGCGTCGAGCCAGCGTTGCAGTGCCGAGCCAGCGTTGAAGTCAACGCGTGAAGTCAGCATCAACGCAAGACAGAATGGATGTCAAAGCCAGGAAGTCAATTCTTATGTAGTGTTCACACGGGGTCTGGANGTCAACGCGTGAAGTCAGCATCAACGCAAGACAGAATGGATGTCAAAGCCAGGAAGTCAATTCTTATGTAGTGTTCACACGGGGTCTGGACCCCGGATGCTGTATCCCTCGGCCGTCCAAATCTCAATGCGAATGAGGGCTCAGATCGGCCTGAAACCGAATTCCCTCCGGCCTGGATGCTGTCTGGGTACCTGCGCACAACAAGTGAGTGTATCCAACCCAGGGCCTAGGTGCGGTACCTTTGACTCTACAGTTGGCTTTGACTCTTGAATTTCCTGTGTGCAGCGTTCGGTCACACAGCCACACTCGATAGACTCAGGCCTGGGCGTGTCTTGGTCACACAGCCCAGCGCAGACCTTCTCAGGTCTGCGTGGCCTGGGGCTGAGTTCTAGGGCCCAGGCTACTTCTGAACAGGGTTATTACATTTGGATTTACGACAATTTCAAAAGAAATGAATCTGCGCCAAAGAAAGAATTCCGAACAAAAGAAAAAAAAAGTTGGAATTGGCAGTTAGGTCATAAATCGCGAATGAGAACTAATTAGGTTAACCTCGCCAGTCAGTCACTTAGTCGGTCGGTTGGTCAGTCCGTCGGTCGGTCGGTCGGTCGATCGGTCGGTCAGTTGGTCGGTCGGTCAGTTAGTCAATCGGTCGGTCGGTCGGCCAGTTAGTCAGTCAGTCAGTCAATTAATCAATCATCTGTCAGTCAATTAATCAATCAATCAATCAATCGTAATCGATCAATCATCAGTCAGTCAATTAATCAATCAATCAATCAATCGTAATTGATCGATCGATCGATCGATCGATCGATCCATCTATCCATCCATCCATCCATCCATCCATCCATCCATCCATCCATCCATCCATCGGTCGGTCAATGCATCAATCAATCGATCGATCCTTCCCTTTCGCGCGTCAGGTCAGGTTGAAGTCCTGATTCACACGCAGGGCTCCGATACCAACTAATACATGCTCGGTTGAGCAATGTATATAGAGCCATGGATCCACGAAGTGATAAAAAGGACTCGAATGGACAATGCAGCATTAGTGAAGCATCACAATCAATGTGCATCCATATACATACGAAAATAACATAATGTAGTGCAGCGGAAGACTCAAAGATATGACCTGACCTATCAGAGACTGACGCGACATCCCATCATACACCACACATGTGAGAGAGGGAGGAGGGACCGCATACATGGAAGAAAGGTCCCTCCTTGGACATGCACATGGGGGAGATACCACGGATGAGGAGATGGGGGACAGGCTAGACGAAGATGGAGGTGAGGGAGAAGACCAAGATCATGATACCAAAGTCCAGAAATAGTCTCCCTGCGGAATGTCCAACCCTGTCTGCCACAAAAATGTCGAATCAGATCCTGGGCTTCACGCCCGATGTAACCTCTGCCTGTAACCTCTCTCTCTCTCTCTCTCTCTCTCTCTCTCTCTCTCTCTCTCTCTCTCTCTCTCTGAAAGAAGAAAACTACTACTACTACTACTAATAATAATAATAATAAGAAGAAGAAGAAGGAAGGAAGGAGGGAGAAGAGATGGAGGGCAAGACGAAGGAGAAAAAGAACATGTCGTCCTCCTCGCTATCTCACTTGCAGGTAATGCCGGCATGTACTAACTGCCGTTGTGGTCCCTGTGCAGGACGCCGGCGTGGAGCGCGGTTATGGTGCCAGGTAAGTACCGCCGCTGCAGGTATGGCCTCCGCCCCTCTGCCTTCCTACACCTCTACCTCTACCTCCAGTGTTGTGCTGTAGTGTCGCAGCGCTGCTCCAGCAGCGTGCCGCCCAAGAAGTGAGCTACTCGAACTGTGTGTCTGCCCAGCCGTGGCCCAGCTATAAGTAGCGCTGGGTCGGCCGGTCTGCCTCTGTGTGCCTACGGTCCTGTAGCCAAAACGTGGGCCTACTGGGTCTGGGTCCCGACCGGACGTCCAGACCCTGTACCTGGCCCAGGGAGGCCTGCCTCCTGGTGAAACTGGCCCAAGGCGCGGCCTTGGGGACAGCAGTTCCGAAACAACGCCTGAACAGACAAAAATAGGACAGCAAATAAATAAATAAATAAATGCTGTCTCGAATCGAATCCTGTGGCCTAAGGGCCATCCGTGGGGCTCCAGGGCGTGTGGCCTGGGGGCCCCCAGCAACCGTCGGGCCCCCAAAATGAGGCCTGTGTGTACCGGTCACTCGGCGGTTGTTGTACAGTAGCGATGTACAGTAGATAGAGAGGGACAGCGGGGTGCATTGTTCGACAGCCTTTGCGGTGCGGGCCGAATGTTGTTTTATTTCCGTTTTTGTTTTTTAACTTTTTTTATCATTATTGACAATGACACTTGTTTTTGCGGTGGGTTTGATTATGTTGGAGATTGATGCTCATATGATGGATGTTGCACATACCTTTCCTCAGATATGGTTGTTTTAGGCAGATGACAAGGAACAGCGTAAGAACGGGAGACGGAGACTACACAGGAACGGGGAAGGGATAAAACAGGACGACTGAGAGCGAGGAGTGCTGTTCCTACGGGAAGCATGTCTCATTACCAGAAAGGAGAGCCCACCAGAAGGCAAAGGCGGTGGTACCAATTACATCCTGAAACACGACAGGACAAGCACATTTCGGATTCATGGGCATAGCTCAAATCTCAGAAAGAGGCTATTGGAAACAGATAACAAGGGACAGGCAAACCTCTACAGGACCTCGACAGGCAAAAGTCTCACAGCTTCGTTTGGCAGCGCTAAGTGGAAAAGACGACAGGCGAGCCTAAAAGGTTAAAACGGTTCACAGTTTTGAGGGGATAGAGCGACGGTTTTTTCTCAGGAGGCCTTATAAAGGAAAAGTAGCCAAAATAGGAAGAGGAAGTCAGGCCTCTGAAGTGAAAGCCAAGGGTCCAGGGTCTACCACAAAGGGTCAGAGAGATGCAAGGGGGCGAAACAGACTGGCAAGGGTA